TGGTTGGTGGGTGCTCTAGTGTGGTCTGCTCCTTCTTTCCTATCTAACATCTATCATCCTTATCTCCCCTCCTTTTTTGTGTTTGTTACTCTCTTGTGACACATAATCTTCGGCACTAATATGACCTATTGTGCTGCAAGTGCCGTAAAACTCTTACTAAAACTTAACTTTCTCTCTCTGTCTCTCTGTCTCTCTCTCTCTGTCTCTCTCTCTCTCTCTCTATCTATCTATCTATCTATCTATCTATCTATCTCGAGGAAAACGAACTGTTTCTGGTTTTCAAACGCACCAAGATACGGAAATATGAAGAAACATCACAATAGTCCCTGGCTTTATTACTTGTCATAAACGAGTCCATTGACATTTTAACATTATTTTTATAAGACTATGCAAAAGTGTTCGGCCTATTATATGGGGAGCGAAGTAAAAAGTTGAAAACTGGAAAAAGACGGGAAAAGTATGAGCTCTTCACTGAGAAAGACTCATTTAATTATACTAATTGTAAAATCCAAGCTCATTGGGTCTCTGAAAATAGCGAACCAATGAGAATCTTTATATCATTTCACTAGAAGGTAATGGCGCCGTTCGTGGAGAGAAAGGCAGTCTGGTAGTTTACGTTTGTGTCTTGTATTTTCATTTCCAAATTGTTACCAAGGTTCAGCATGACCTCTATTAGAGGTTTGGATGCACATGTATGAGGGGCCCAAGCATCTCTGGTGCCAACCTTTGTTTTTGAGGTTGTAATTCATCGGAAAGACCGACCGGTGCGAAGTGGAAGTGGCAATTTTTCATCTCATTCTCATTGTTGCGGATGAATGGTGTCAGTTTGATACATGGTATTTTATTGTTAATCTACATAGTTTATGATCAGTCCCCGTTTTGCCTTATTTGCACGGAAAGCTTGGAATATTCAAAGTTACAAGAACATGGCATCTGGAAATTCGGAGCTACAATGGAAGGTAAGTTGGCCAACGGCCTCATTTTTGTCGCATAGCTAATTTTAACTCGGGTCATGACCTGCAAAGTAGGTCACATGGTGTAAGCCGTTTCTCTGATTGGCTAGTCTGAACTTTGACACACATTTTCAAAAGTCCGCTCAATGCAAACCGTTAGCCTAGCCTACCAACTTGGCCTTGCCTTGCCTTGTAGGCTGCTGTTCCTTGTACTGTGTTGATTGTTTTCTGTTTTAAAAGGCTAACACAATCCAGTATTGTTCATATTGTCTGAGATTAAAAACACCATGGATAAAAATGCAGGACCTTTGAAGGTGAGGGTACAATCATGTGTTTGATGTCTACTAAGACAAGACTAAGTACTCTAACTCTAAACATACAACAATGCACAATGACACAACGATGACAGAAAGTCTTACAAAGTGACAGTGACACTCAGCTGTAGTGCTGTAGCAATACAGTACAGTCCTACTACAGTTCAGTAAGTATTAATCTAAATCTATTATGGGATTGCCTGCTGCTGCAAGTGCAGAGACAGAATTTTAAAAAGTAGATATTCTTAGGTCAATTTGATCGTCCACACTGATAGAATCTAGACAGTATTCAGAAAGAGACAGAGAGAAAGAAGAGGGGAGGAGTTGATCTTGCGAGAACTTCCAGAACTTCCGGGCGGGTGAGAATAGCCACTTTCTTCTTAGATTCTCTTACTATGCAACACGCATTCATGATTCAGTTCAGAGTCAGCAGGCGATGTTTTCCTCCTCGTCCTCTGGAGAACAGAGATGGCTCGCTCTTCAATCTTGCTCGACTCAAGGCCAAGGCCGGGACCAAGATTAAGATCAACAAAACAACAGTACTAGACCTTCTCTTCGCTGATGATGCTGCTCTTGTTACTCTCAGTGAATCAACCCTACAATGAATAATGATGGACCGCCTCAGCATGCAAGGTCTTTAGCTTGGTCATCAGTGTAAAAGAAAAGTCATCTTGAGGAGAAGGTGCAGAGCAGAGCCATTTATGATTATGGCTGAACGACAAGGAACTTGAGACAGTGGACAAGTTATGTTACCCGGGGTCTACGATCAGCTCTACTAGTACTACTACATCTGGATAGGGAAAGCAGCAACAACTTTTGGAAGGCTGACAAAACGACAATGGGAAAACACAGCCAAAAAATTTAAGATTAACACCACAGTGGCTACGTTCAGGGCGCCGTGAACATAGTTGGGAGGCTACGATCACGGTGCCCTGAATGCAGTTTGCAGGCACTGCTGAGGCTACATCGACGGCATTTATGGCATGGCGTTTAATTAAGGGGAGCATCCACTACCGGTTAAAGTCAGCTGGTTTTAGTCAGTGATGACAGTAGTAACGTTTAATATTTTGGCCAGCTTCAAGTGTTCCATCCCATGAGATGAAGGAAAACGAAGCGCCTTTACCGAATTGAAGTTGGTGTATGGAAATATATGGAACATTGGATACGATACATGGGAAACAAGAGGTGAGAGGTGGAACTGGGAAGTTGGGACTGGTCATACAATGTGTGTACAATAATGACTGTATTGTATTGCACGGGTCAGCCTGGGAACCGACGCAGAGAGAAAATGACGGGAATCAATTATTCTTATAGTTACAAACACCCTCCCTCTCTCTCTTTTTCTGTCTGTCTCTCCCCTTTCTCCTTCCTTCTCTCTTCCCCCCCCCCCCTTCTCTCTCTATTTTTCTGTCTCATTCTGTCTGTCCCTTCCTCTTTCTCTCCGTCTCTCTTTCTCTCCCACCCTCTCTCTCTTTCTCCCCTTCTCTCTCTCTCTCTGTCACACACACACACTCACACTGCCCGCAGACAAAATTGCACGCTTTGAACTCGAGAACGCTGGAACGTTTGTTTACACTTGTATTATACGGGCTGTCATGCGAGATAGATCTACCTGGCTATGGAAACATCGTATACATTTTTGTCATTATCCTAATGCGTTGTTATATAATTGAGAGATCGTTGTTTTCCCTTACACTGGCGAGCTCTGAGCCAGAATCAGTGTAAGGGTAAACGACGAATGGTCGATCGGTCAAGGATCACTGCTTCGTTTTCCTTCATCTCGTTTGATGGAACACTTGAAGTAGGCCATAAAATATACGTCACAGACTAAAACTGGCTTACTTAAACCGGCAGTGAACGCTCCATCTAAACGAAGCTTTTATCATTATGCCGTGAACGTAGCCTCAACAGCGCCTGCAAACTGCTTTCAGGGCACTGTGAACGTAGCCTGCCAACTAGATGTAGATCTACGGTCACGGCGCCGTCTGAACTTTATGAAGCATATGTGTCCTCAGCATTCCTTTATGAATGGATCTGAAACATGGACCTTGTGCAGCAGACAACAAAAGCGCCTCGACATTTTCCGTCTCAGATGCTGCCGCAAGATCTTCGACATTTTGATTTTGTGGCGTAACAAGGTTACAAATGTTGAAGTGTTGGCACAGGCAAACCTCCAAAGCGTTACAACTATCCTGTGTTATAAAAGATTGAGATTGTTTGGCCATGTCAAGAGAATGGACGACAACAGGATTCCGAAGCAACTTCTCTATACAGAACTTGCCCAGGGAAAGAGACTAAGAGGAAGACCTAAATTGAGGTACAAAGTTTGACAAAGACACCTGCAAAAACAGCTATCTAAGCTTGGAGTAGATGTTATATCTGGGAAGAAATAGCTGAGGACAGGAAAACATGGAGGAAAATGATAAAGGAAACAACTATAATGCTAGAGAGCAGCCTAGAAACAACCAGACTGAGAAGCGCCAACAACGAAAGGAAAACAGCGGGAATACAGAGCTTCGATCTACGTCACTGACGTTGGAATCCGCTGAGATAAAGCAGTTTTGGAGCTACGTATGAAAGAACTAAAAGAATGTGCGCCAACCACCCAAACAGGAAATTAGTAGAAACATGGAAACCAAAAAAACGAATTCAACAAAAGTCAATCATGCATCACATCACAGAACTAATGGAGAGACACCATCCACCACAAAACAGAAAAGAAACCAAAAGAGTCAACCAAAACATCCCTCCCCACCTTTCTTTAAAAAAAGCCAATCATTACAACATCTCTCAGAGGCACAAAATCTTCAGACCCAGTGACGCTGATGCTTGCATCTCATCAACTGGATGGATAACAACAGCATCTCATCAAACAATCGACAGCTATTCAGATGACTTGATACACGTCTATGCGGACGGCTCAGCATTCAAAGGCACAACCGAAGCTGGATATGGAATACTAATACAGTACCCAGATGGAAGTTCCAATGAGATATCTGCAGCCTTGGAGGAAAATGCAGCAACTACGATGCAGAAATGATGGCAATTGAAACAGCACTGTACCATCTCCGCACAGTTTTTGACACTCATCCTGGAAAAGCACAGAGTATTGTGATTTTCACTGACTCACTATCAGTCTTACAAGCCATAAGAAAATGACCATCATCTAAACCAAGATTTGACTCGTATACTGTTTGGCTCCCATCATCTGATAACATTCTGTGGCATTAACCTAGTAATGCAGTGGGTCCCCGGACACTCAAACATATACGAAATGACAGAGCAGACGCACTTGCCAAAAGGGGAGCTAGACAGGAACAACCCAACATTCTAACTTCATGCAAAACTGCAAAACATCATTAAAAGCAACAACAAACAAGATTGGATGAACGGATGGGCCCTGGGAAAGACAGGCAGAGCAGCTTTCAAACATATGACCACAACAAAAAGGAATGACAATATCAAGCTTCAGAGAAAGAAACAGACCACGATCTTCCGCCTACGAACAGAACATGTACAGCTCAACTTCCACCTGAACAGAATAAACCCGGAACTTCCCCCAATGTGTCCCTTGTGTGACTATGCATATGAGACTGTGGATCATCACTTGTTCCACTGCACAGCCCTAAATGACATCAGAGCTACCCTTCTCCCTCCGAGACCTAACATTGACAACACACTCTATGGAACTTTACAGCAACTGCAGCAAACCTGCACTTATCACTACATGGCATTGGACAGAAGGGCGAGAGCCCAGCTGTTGCTGGATCGATAACAACAACAACAACATCATCAACCACCTGCAGAGAAAGAAACAGACCACGATCTTCGGCCTACACAGCTCAACTTTCACCTGAACAGAATAAACCCGGAACTTCCCCCAGTGTGTCCCTTGTGTGACTATGCATATATTATATGAGACTGTGGATCATCACCTGTTCCACTGCACAGCCCTAACCTAAATGACATCAGAACTACCCTTCTCCCTCCGAGACCTAACATTGACAACACACTCTATGGAACTTTACAGCAACTGCAGCAAACCTGCACTTATCACTACATGGCATTGGACAGAAGGGCGAGAGCCCAGCTGTTGCTGGATCGATAACAACAACAACAACATCATCAACCACCTGCAGAGAAAGAAACAGACCACGATCTTCGGCCTACACAGCTCAACTTTCACCTGAACAGAATAAACCCGGAACTTCCCCCAGTGTGTCCCTTGTGTGACTATGCATATATTATATGAGACTGTGGATCATCACCTGTTCCACTGCACAGCCCTAACCTAAATGACATCAGAACTACCCTTCTCCCTCCGAGACCTAACATTGACAACACACTCTATGGAACATTACAGCAACTGCAGCAAACCTGCACTTATCACTACATGGCATTGGACTTAAGGGCAAGAGCCCAGCTGTTGCTGGATCGATAACAACGTCACTGACATGCAAGCACTGCGAAAGAATCTGCTCTTCAAACGTAGGAAGAGAATTAACTATGAAAGAAGCTCCATGAAGACAACCTTAAGACCATCTTAAGCTAAACTGACCATCTGCGTAGTCAAAAAAAAACATACATAGATCTAGAATTTACCCTTAGAAGTTTCTGCCCTGGGAAGGACTTCTGTAACGAGCGACCACCATGAGACACAGAGTTGGCAGAACAGAGGGATAGATCGAGGGGTAGGGTTAGTTAGCATTTGGGGTAGGGTTAGGGGTACAACTTAAGAAACTGGGTCCCGCTTGGGGATACTAGTTTTGACCCCACCGACGATTACTTCTTGTTCTAAACGATTACTACTTTTTGATATGCGTGCCGATAGGCCTATGGAGAGATATCCAATCATCAAATTACTGTTATAATGTTCAGGGGGCATGCCCCCCTGAAACCCCCCGCCCCATGTTTTTGTTAGGTCAGGGGGGAAAGAACCCCCCGTGCCTTGTTAAAAACAAGTGAAATTTTACTGCTCATTTAATAGGCTAGATCTAGATCTACTTTTTAAACATGGATAGTGAATATTTAAATCAGTATCGATATCCAGTACTCTGTGTGGATGATACCAAGTCTACACAGGTGGGACTCAGATTCTTAAGTAGCACCAGGTTAGGGTTAAGTCTCTTCTTAATTGTGTTTGTTGTGGTGGTCGCTCGTTACGGAAGTCCTTCCCTGTGGTGGGGCGCTACTCCAGCACCTAGGACGAGGTTTTACATCCACACCTTCCTGACCATCTGCACCACTAAGGCAGGATCACATTGATGGGGTAGCATTAAACATCTACCCCCAAGTTGCACCCATTTTCCCTTTCCTCATCTTGTGGTATTATGTTAAAGTTAGAGCTGATGGAACCAAACTTGATAGATCGAGAAATTTCGATCTAGTTTTGTTTCAAATAAGTACTGAGTGGACAAAACGTTTTCCGTCTTAGGTAAAAAAACGTCCAAAAGGAAGAAATTTCTCTTTCCGCTTCTGTGTGAGACAGAGGTGTCCGTTTTTGGTAATTATACAGGAATTTTTATCAAGGGGGGAGCGAGGAGATTTCATTAACAGGTTTGTCTTACACAACTTTCCAGGAAGGTTCGACTGTAAGTGATTGGTTAGCTTCTTGTGTGTGCTAATATTATAAATACAATAATGTCTGAAAGGTCCACTACTGTTTGATATTATTCTGAGGTGTTTGATGTCAACAACTTTTTTTATTTCGTATACAGACTCTCTTCGACAACATGCAAGCCAAAACAGATGCAGCTCTTGCGAAAAAGGCCAAAGCCGCAAAACCACCTGCTGCACCTGAGATGGAAAATGCTGGTGATGGTTTGATGGAGCTTGATGGTGCTCCAGCGAAAAAAGATGGTGGGGGTGGCAACAAACGCTTGTCTGTGGAGAGAATCTATCAGAAAAAGAGCCAGCTTGAGCATATCCTGCTCAGACCTGATACATACGTTGGGTCTGTGGAGTCTGTGACACAGGTTTGTCCTTTTTATAATTTTATGTCTTTTTTTATCATGTTGTGTGTACCAGTATTCAAATCATGTAACATAATTTCATTTTTTTAATAAAAAGCTTTTCTCAAAAGGTTGAAAACCACAATTTGAAAATGTTGCCACAACCCACATTTTCATCCAAGTTACTGAAATAAAATCTAAAATGGGTGGGTTTTTTTGAGTCTTCGACTTCGACAGAGGTAAAATCAGGTCAATTTATAAGCTCCTGTAGTGTGAATGACTCACTCATCTCATGACATTTTATAATAAGGGTATACTACTACTGTGTGTTTGCTGACTGACTTTTGCATTGTATACTTAGTGCTTGCAAATAACAGTTGTCAATATCTTACCTACTAGATGGTAACTTTTAAAACTTTCTGATCTACACTTGTTTGATTACTGTACAAACACCATTTCACTTTACTTTTTCAGAATTTCTAAAGAGGCAGATTATGGCTTTTTATATTTTTGACTTACGCCATACACATTGTCAAACTTATCCATTAGCTTATTTCATCAATTTCTTTTCACGTTTCAGCCCATGTGGGTCATGGATACAGAAACAAATCAAATGGTGCAGAGAGACATTACATATGTGCCTGGCCTCTACAAAATCTTTGATGAAATTATGGGTGAGAATTCATTATCTTATGCAAATAGAAACAGAATAGCATAAAATTAATCATTAATCTGGCAGTACTTTTTTGGCTTGTTATGAGGTACTTGTTGTCATGACAATGTTGAGGCCACCAGACAGATTTTGTTTTGATCAAAATGGTGGTTTATTGAAGGTGTTGACTGAATGCTTATATAAAAAAAGTTAAGTTGAAGCTTTATTTAACTTTTCCTGCCATGGATGTTGGTTTGTTTACTCTGTTTCTCTTGATTGATAAATGATTCATTAAAGGATTTGCTGTTCTTTCTTTGTAAGTCATTGCCTCTGTACTTGACCTCAGTTTAAAGTTCCAACGTGTTTTCAGGAATATCCGTGTATTCAGCTCACGTAAAAATCTAGTACAATATATGCCCCACTGATCGTGCCTCCTGACTCAGTGTCTAAAAATTTTTTTTTTTTTAGGGGGGGTTGGTTTTGAAAAAAGCAATTCATATTTGCTGGACATTATAGAATTGTACAGAGGGTTCTTTTGCTGCCAGTAACATACACTCGTATTGCCATTAGATAATGAACAATGATTTTTTCATGTTGTTCGGATTATGATGATGGCATTGATGCTTTGAGTCTAAGTTTATTTCATCATTTTTGAAAGGGCATTCTCTGAGCTGTAAGTCAAAAAACTATTTCATTAAAATGTAAACTGATTGATTACAATTACTGTCTCTGTTGCAAGAAAGTTGAGTATGTCAACCTGGTCACAAAGTTGTGACATTTTTCTGCAATTGAGGTGTCATACGCATTGTTGAAGAGCTTGAATTTACAGTAATTTGTTTCCTATTATTTTTGTTTCTTGATTGTAGTCAATGCAGCTGACAATAAACAGAGGGACCCCAAGATGGACTGCCTCAAGATTGAAATTGATCCGTAAGTTGTTGCTTGCCAAAAAGTCAATACAGATGCCTGGCAAGCACCCAAACCACGGCTAGCGATAACGACCATGCTTACTGTTTCCCGAAAAAATTTCTCCTCATGCAAATTGAACTGATTTATTTTAAGTTCACGGGAGGAGGGGTGGATGGGGTATTTTTGCTTGTTTTCAACTAGAAAAAAGATTACATTGTGTGTCTGGGACCTCCTTTGGTGGTAGAAAATTAGTGAACATTGCAGTTACTAATCACCCTTCTGACAATTAGAGCATCTCTTAACCCTATCTGTACGCCCTCGGGTCATTTTGTACCCCCGGGGTTGTATTCTTCACATTTTAGAATACTTCTAGTGCTAAGATCTCTTTGAAACTTTCAGTATTTTTCAAAAAATCATTTTAACAGACTGCTATGCAAAGCGTACGGATCTGATTAACGGGTAAATTTCCTCTTTGGAAAGTGGTGGCACAGAATTCTCCATGTCGTATGGATACGATTGTAAAACACGACGTACGAATATGGTCAAATAAAAAGTGTTTTTGTCTAACTTTGACAGAGAATTTGTGCCTTGCTTTATGATGTTAAAATATGCATCCAATGTTTTTGGTTATTTTAGAGGTACAAAACAAGTTTTAATCTGGTTATTTATGGAGCTGCTCTGTAACTTCGTATCAGATTGATGAGCGTCCTGTCGCAGTGGCTGTTTTTAAGAAATATAGCCTTAAAAAATTTCTCAAATAACATTTTAGGCATTGTCATATTGTCTGTTGATACCCCTTAATACCCTTTAATTTCTTGAAAACTATCGCACATGTTTTTGTGCTTTGTTGGGTTTTTTTTTAGCCAGAAGTTATTTTAAAGAATTTATGTTCACCGTTATTTGTTTCTAATTTTCATTTATCAGCAGTTTCCTTATAATGAAAATTTGTATATTTGAGGGCTTTTTTTTTTAAAAACAGAGAGAGCAACAAAATAAAGATCTGGAATAACGGGAAAGGTATTCCTGTGGTGGAGCACAAGGCAGAGAAAATGTATGTCCCCACAATGATTTTTGGCCACCTGCTCACCTCCAGTAACTATGATGACAGTGAGAAAAAAGTGACAGGTAAGTTGTGAGAAAAAATCATTTATTATGGAATTAAGTTACGAGGTATACATTGATTTTGTATTGTAGGCTTTCTTTTGAGCAAGTCTCAATGTTTAGGTTTAGTGAATTAATCTAAATGACCTGATATCTATTCTGATTTAGTAAAATATTGCCTTGTGGAATGTGAGTCTGTTATGTTGAATCTTATAATAAGGTTGGCTTATGCTTCTGTACTTCCAAAAATTCTTGTAATTTAATTTTAAGTTTTATCAAATTTGAGGTCTAGATCTAGTAATGAGGATTTTGCTTTAAGTGCACATCTTAGTAAGCAGAATGATTGCTTTTTTGTTTGTTTGTGAGGCTCAAGGGATGTGGTTGGGGTGGGGGGGGGGGGCAGCTTTTATTTCGTTTGTTTTTGTTATTCCCAAACCCACATCAACGTTTATGAAACAATCATAAATTGCTGAGTCCACTTCGGTTAATAATAGTAACAGTGTACTTTGTTGTTCAGATTTTTTTTTGCAGAGACTAGAAAGTTTGTTTTTCTGTTTTTCAGGTGGAAGAAATGGATATGGTGCCAAGCTTTGCAATATTTTCAGCTCAAAATTTATTGTGGAGACTTCTGCAAAAGAGTACAAAAAAGCTTTCAAGCAGGTACTTACGAAATTATTTTTTGATATTCTAGACGATTGCTTTACAAATTTCCTGTTTATTATTCATATCTGAATTACTTGAGTGGAGTAAGTAAAGTCTACAAAATGCTTCTAAGCATAGCGCAGCTATAATAATGATAAATAATAATAAATAGCATTTGTATAGCGCATATCCCCGCTCAACAGCAGGCTCTATGCGCTTTACACTATATTTTTACCCCAGCAGACCATAGAACACTCCAAAACATTCTCAGCTTCCCGGGAATCATACTGTGCAAGCAGCTGATTAAGCGCTCAAACACTAACAAACTGACAAGACAAACTTTCGCTGTCTATAGCCGGGCACCCTTTTCCACCTGGGTGAAGTGAGGAAAACTAGTTTAAAGTGCCTTTCCCAAGGACACAACGTGGGGTCCCTGACGGGATTCGAACCCACGACCTTACGGTTGCGAGTCCGAGAGCCAGTATTTTGCATCATGTCTAGTTTATTTCTGCCAAAAAGGATTCCAAACCTTGCAATATTTTTATCTACTCTCTTTTTAGTTTTTTAGTTTTAGTAGAGGTTTTACAGCGCTCGCAACTGCATAAGGTCATATGAGCGCCAGAAGATTAAAGGTGTTACAAGAGAGTAACAAACATAAAAAAGGAGGAGGGAAGATAAGGACGATGGATGTTTGATAGGAAAGAAGAAGCAAACCACACCAGAGCACCCGCCAACCACCCACGATCTACTCTCTATTTGCAAGTTCTGTTTTTACCTATTACAGATTATTTCACCTTATTTTGACTAAAAATTCAGGTCGTGCCCCCCATATTTGATACAATGAAGCCAATTTCAAATCAGAATTTAAAAGTGCTTTTTGTTCAGAGCAGGACAAATTGTGTTCACTGTGTCATGTGTGGTTTTATTTCCTGAAGTTACGGACTTTATGTGGAAAAGGGGTTGGCAGGTCTTTCTAATGAAATGGTTGCTTCCTTTACTGTTTGCATGTGTTGTATTGTGACTAGTTTGCCTTCCTGGAAATGTTTTACAAAGACATGCGCTCTTTCCACAGACATGGACAGAAAACATGACGAAGACGAAAGAACCTACCATCACTGATGCTAAAGAGTCAGATTTCACATCTGTGACTTTTTATCCTGACCTTTCCAAGTTCAAGATGGAGAGGCTTGATGCAGATGTAGTTGCTCTGTTCACACGTCGAGCGTACGACATTGCAGCCAGCTCGAAGGGCGTCAAAGTTTTCCTCAACGGCAAGCGTTTGCCTGTGAGTGTTTAGATATTTAAGTCATATTTGGTGTACATTGTTTAGAAATGTAAAATCTTTTTTCTTTCTTTCTTTTCTTTTTTTTTTTGTTTGTTTGTTTGTTTTTTGTTTGTTTTTTTGTTTTTTGTTCCCTTCATTTCAGCTTATGTATGCAGACCTTTTACTCTTTTTGTACTGAATCTTTAACAGGGAAAACAGGATAATTTATTTGGTGGGGAAAACACTATGAAAATGGATGATAATGAAAATAAATAAAAGGGAAATCAAAAGGCGTCTATCATTGCGAGTTTGGTGGAATGATAACGATTTTTTCTTTTCAACTTACAAAAATACGTTTATAACACCCTTGATTCCATTTTAAAAAAATCTTTTTACTGTTAGGCTACTCTAACCCATCCTCGCCTTCCAAAAGTATAAGGAAATAAATGCCCAATCAGATTCCAAAAGTCTGCGTCACTGTGTCACATGCAGCTGTCTAACTTTAACACCTTCTGTGAACAGAGCTCTTGTAGTCGCTCAATGCCACGTTACTCAGAGAAAAACCCAACCGTACTGAAGTTTAAAACTTGAATCAATCAGCTGTGGAATCAATTTTGGGATTGTCTTGGCCAATATTTGTGATTTTTATCCACTCCATAAGAGTGAGCAATAGTATTGACATATGGTTTAGATTGGTAATTAGCATGTGATGAGATAGAGCCTTTCTAATCATGATCTGATCGTGGAGCTCTGAGTGATGGGACACATCATAAGTGCAAGTCAGGATAGTGCTCTCTCCATTGAACTTATACAGTAAAGGAGCGTTTCATTAACATACAGTCAGACCTACTGAAATGATCACTTGTCGAAGACTGTTACCTGTACAAATCACCACTTTTTTTTTACTCCCCATTGCTTTTTAGATAGAAATATTTCAATGATGTTGTCCAAGACATTCACCTGTTCAAGACTATCAGTTTTCTCATCAACAATGGGTGGCGGGTGGCCATCTTGGACAGTTTCAATTGTATTTGTTCTGTAGTGTTATGTTCTTTTGTTTCCACTGCTGTGAATGTAGCAGTAATGCTTTTTCCCTACTTTCAGGTCAAAGGCTTCAAGGATTATGTTGATCTGTACATAAAAGAAAAAACTGATGAAGCCGGGGCCCCGCTCAAAATTGTTTATGAGGTGGTCAATGACAGATGGGAAGTGGCTGTAACACAGAGTGACAAAGGTTTTCAGCAAGTCAGTTTTGTGAACAGCATTGCTACCACAAAGGTGAAGTTGTTGTCTATTGTATTTTTATTTTGCTAGTTGTATATCTCTGGATAATGACTCCTCACAGATAATGTAATTAAAAGTTTTGTGAGAAAGGGTGGACCATTTAGGGAATGATATTTTGTAGCATAGAGAAATTTTTTTTGTCTGGAATGGCGTAGCTTGGCCCACCATATCCACAGAGGAGTATGGTAGTAGGAAAAGAAGATAACATCAGGTTAGTGAGCTCTGATGCTCTTTGGCTTTTTTAACCAGTATGTGTTGGTTGTTTTAGGTTCATTGCTTGCCCTGAGAACTCTGAGATTACTGTTGTATATCTTATGTGCACCAGTAGGTGAAGACCTCAACATTTTTTGTTTTACAAAATGGAAGGGTAATTTTGGGGGGAGATTCTCTCTAAAGTGTTGTACAGTTCATTATTTTATGCTTATTATCTCAAGTGCAAAACATAGTTGCTGTCATCAAAATATCCTCTCTTTCCAAACACATTGACTTGTACACATAAAAATAAAATTCTAAGCAAAAATAGAGCAGCAGTAGAACTGTAGGTTTAATAGCTTATTTGATAGAAATTATAATTTCCTTCCGTGGTGGCGGTTATGGGATCAGTTCTTCTCCCACCACTAGTTTGTTGATTCGGTTTAAAGTGTAGTAGGTAATTTTGATATAGAGCTGGTAGATAAAGTGTGCTTGTCATGGTATTTATTCCAACTACAATTTACTTTGAAACAGGGTGGTCGTCACGTGGAGTATGTCGCAGACCAGTGTGTGTCAAAGCTGATTGAGGTTGTGAGAAAGAAAAACAAAGGTGGTGTGAACATTAAGCCATTTCAGGTAATACTTTGCACTTTGTGTTTTGGTTCTAAATAGAGGTCTTGGCTTGGTTTGAATTTGTTAATGTGTGTAACATTTCTGGCAGTTTTATTGATGTGATGCACTTCCAGACAGTGCTCTCCTTTGTGCATTTAGTCTTTAGTCTTCATTTGCCCCACTACTGTCCATTTGTTGATTAAAGACTTTCAGAAAGCACTGGCATTCTCATCATTCTGCGAATGGTTGAACATTATAGATCACGATTTTTTAAATTTGAAGGCACATTTTTTTGTTTGTTCAGAACTTTTCACAAGTCTTCTGTGATCACACAATTCGGGCTTTAACAGTTTATGATATGACCCACTGAAGTTAAATGATATTTTTTCTCTTCTAGTTTGGTAAAAAAAAAATTCTTATTGAATGTCAAGTATTAGTTTATCTGTGATAATGTTATCAGTTTTCAGAAACTCTTAATTAATAGAAGTTTTAGAATTCAATACTGTTAGAAGTATTGAATTTTGTGGTGCATTATTTTCTCTGATTTCTTCCTCTGTTTTCACGGCTTTTCAGTTTCTTGGGTCTGCTGGACACAAAACTACCAAAGTATTGAGGATGTCTTGTATAGATTTTTCCCATGATTTTTTGTTTGGACGTACGAGATGCTATATGAACGTTGATCCTTTTCAGGTCAAGAATCACCTGTGGGTGTTTGTGAACTGTTTGATTGAAAACCCAACATTCGACTCTCAAACCAAGGAGAACATGACCAAGCAGGCCAAGAGTTTTGGTTCTAAATGCCAATTGTCCGAGAAGTTCATAAATCAGGTAACTTTGCTAATCTTGATCCGATTTTCAGCCCTAAAATAGATTTTTTAAATGTACAAAGACTTGGATATTGTGGTTTAGGTAGTGTTTGGTATTTATGATTATATTTTCATTGGTGGCACAATATGTGGTATGTTATTGAAGAAAAGTATATTTAAGAGCGTGATATTGTTGAACCTTGAAATTTGTTCATGGAGAAGACTGGGGTTCAAAAGTTAAATGAACTTTGCATCATTGAAGCAGTCATGAGATGGGATTTTTTAGCAAAGAAGACCTTACGGGTCTTTTTATTTATAGAATTTGATGTGCTGGGCTGTGGATTGAGAGAGTTTGATTCTTATTGTTGTTATGAATGATCTGTAACTCACCCTACAAATGATCCGGCAGGTCAGCAAGAGTGGTGTCGTGGAAAGCATCCTCAGCTGGATGAAGTTCAAAGCTCAGGCGCAGCTCAACAAGAAGTGCCACTCTTCGAAGCACTCCAAGTTGAAGGGTATCCCCAAGCTGGACGATGCTAACGATGCCGGCACCAAGAACTCCAAACACTGTACTCTCATCTTGACCGAGGGAGACTCAGCCAAGTCTTTGGCTGTGGCTGGGCTGGGAGTTGTGGGCCGAGATCGGTACGGTGTGTTTCCCCTTCGAGGTAAACTACTCAACGTTCGAGAAGCCACTCATAAACAGGTTGGTATTTGTACACAGTTTTATGATAGTGAATGCCTTTTGTGCTGATGTGTCAGAAGATTAAACTATTTTTATACGAAGACTGAGATGTTTCTTCTGTTTGCTAGGCTTTGTAGAAGAAATCTGCATTGAAAAAAGGAAAACTTTGTCTCTACTTTCCCTGTGTTATTTATTTAAATTATTTTCTAGGAGATTCTTTAATTGCCTACAGTGTCATTTATTAGATTATGTTATCATATGATTTAACACACATATTCACCTCTTCGGGGGGAGAGGGGGGGGGGGGGTGATTTGATTGTGATCTGTGATGTTTAAGTATTACTTTGTCATCATGTCAAAGGTGCGATTTTTCCATAATTTTACTGAAATCCATAAATGAAAAATCGCTGTATTAAGTTCTGTAAAACTTCGGTAGGATGTGCAAACAAGCCACTTATGGAACTGTGGAAGTGCGGAAAATTAACAGGGCATTAAGGGCTGGTGGGGCACCTAGAAATCGTGTTTGGGGGTCAAATTTTGTAAATTGGGTTTATTACATATTATAGTGCCTGGACACTTCCTGAAAAATATCCAGAAACGTATGTAAGCCTTGCTACACCCTAACACTGAGTTTTTTTGTCAGGTTTTTCGGCGAAAGCACATGTTGTCTAGCCTTTTCTTTCCTGTATCGGCTTTTTTCTCACAATTCTATTTTTTCACATATTATCCCATTTTTCTGCTGTTTCTTATTCAATTTTAATGTAACTTTCACAGGATACCAACAACACCTAGTTCTAAATTTTGGCTTGTTGAATTTTTGATTAATGTAGTAGTTTTTTATTTATGTGCTTAGAAAGGATGAATTTTCCATTTTTTTCACTTTTTTTGCAACATCTCAATTGTAAATGTCATAAAATAAAAACTAAAGCATATATAAAAAATTCAACAAGCGAAATTTAAGAGCTACATATGTACTGTTGGCATGCCAAATTAGAAGTGAATCGGTTAATAAAGAAGGAAATAAAATGGGATTGAAAAAGGTATACAAAATCCAATATGGCTGCCGTTTCCATAGCAACCGATTCACAATATATTTTTTGAACTATTGATTTAAAATCCCCAATAACACACGATGTCCCACAGCAAATATCGGCACTCTAGGCCTTGTAATAGCCAAAATAGACCCCGGGTGCCCCACCAGTCCTTAAGGCCTGTTTTTGTTTCTTAGACGCCTACTTCCGCCCGCTTTCAGTTTCAGTTCGAGAGTGGCACGAGTTAGTTGGCTTTTACTGATTTAATATCTAGATCTAAGATCTTTTCTAGATTACGTTCCAAGTACTGAAAAAATTCAGTAAAAAATAATGTGGAGTATGTCTTGGTCATGTATGGGTCCATTTATTCATTAATGGTTGCGGGGATGGGTTTTTGTTTTTGACACTTATATCTCAATGTGGTTAATAGTATTGTTGCTTTGTACTCATTCATTGTGTCTTTGCGTTTCAAGATGATAGGTTCCATCTTTTCCGACTTGTCTATATTATGTCTGCTTCATTTATTAAATTTTCCGAAATACAAAAACTTGAAATAGTGTACTGAAATAATGTACTGCCATTGTGTGTATTTCGCATCATGGACAAAGCTGAGATCAACAGCTTTGTACTCATTCATTGTGTCTTTGCGCATCAAGATGATCAGTTCCATCTTTTCCAACTGAAATAATGTATTGCCATTGTATTTCAGATCATGGACAATGCTGAGATCAACAGCATCATCAAAATCCTGGGACTTCACTTCAAAGAAAACTACGACGACCCGACCAAACTGAGCCAGCTTCGTTACGGCAAACTGATGATCATGACAGATCAGGATCAGGACGGCTCCCACATCAAAGGGCTGCTCATCAACTTTGTGCACCATTTCTGGCCTGGTCTGCTCCGACATAACTTTGTGGAGGAGTTCATCACTCCCATCGTCAAGGTACAGCCTGTTTGTGCTTAAGTATTGCTTCGTGGGGGGGGGGGGGTATAAAATATAAAATTAAGACTGGCTTTGTAGTCAAAGTGTAATGCTTAAATGACTGCGGGTTGTTGGTTGATGCTCTAAGGTCAAAAACAAAGTGAAATCTTCATTTTTATGTGCATTACTTTTGACTGCTTGTTTCATATATTTATGGCAATATATAATTGATAACACCTTATATTTGTGGGTGGGGGATTGTTTTGTTCAATTAGCTTTTTGTGCTGTTTCCAATTTTTCAAAAAAAAATTTCCACATCTCATCTATATTAAAGATTAGACCTGAGTTATAATCAGTTGTAAAGTAAAGTCATAGATACATTCAAGCATGAATATTGGGGCACATTTTCTTCTTGCTATTGGGAGAGAATCTGTTTTTTTATAATTTGTTATTTGTCAAGTCTTTTTCTGGTCTTTTGCTTGCAGGTGTCAAAGGGCAAAAATGAAAGGTCATTTTACAGCGTTCCAGAGTTTGAAGAGTGGAAGATGCAAACAGAAAACTGGCACACATTCAAAGTCAAATACTACAAAGGTTTTTTTTTTTTCTCTCTTTGAATATTTTTGTGTACCGTTTATCACGGTTAATGGCTTTTCCTTCAACTTTTTTGAAAGAATATAGATCTACATTAGTTTAAAAGTGCTTGGCATAATCATTGTTATAATATGAGCTTTACATCCCTTTTGAAACTTCTGTATGGTTCTTTATGAGACTCTGAACTACCCACAAAATATTTGACCATGACCCAGTTTCCTGAATTAAGTATGAATCTGTATTTCAGTTTGAAAAAGAATTCAGTGGGAATCCTAATCTATGAATTTATAGATTTTTGTTTACAGGATAGGTGATCCATAAGGTGAAAGAGAGTCCCATTTGTAACTTGGAAACTTGTCTCTTCAGGTTTGGGTACCTCCACTTCCAAGGAGGCCAAGGAATACTTCACAGACATGCAGCGTCACCGCATCAAGTTCCACTACGGGGGCCAGGAGGACGACAGCTCCATCAATCTCGCCTTCAGCAAGAAGAAGATTGAGGAGCGGAAAGAGTGGCTGACCAACCACATGGAGGAGAAGAAGCGAAGGGCTGAAATGGGCTTGCCTGATGTGAGTGCTTGATGTTGGGAGTGAACCTCATGCTTTTTAATAATAGATAATAGCAAAGATAGTAAATAACAAGATGGGCCACTCAGCCAAAATAGTGTCCGCAGGAAGTATGCTCTTTGCTTCAGATGGCGCTGCAGTCTGTTTTGAAGCTCTCTTTCGTTTTTCCAGAAGAAGAATAGGAATAGCACCTCCTTGCGTGCGCAGATCGACTGCTGTTCATCAGTAGTTCGGGTTCGTTCAGTGCGGAGTTTTATGTTATTTATATTTTAATCACCTCTCGCCTTTCATTCTAAAGTCAAATTAAACGAAGAAAACAATCACCCTTTCCTCCGGAAGACATTTTTTGTCAGGGTAACCATTTTAAAAAAGCGTTCTTCCGAAATTCATTAAAAAACTTGCTAGTTTCACTTTGATTTTTTAAAACTCAAGTAGGATAACTCTGTTCGCAAAAGGTGCGCTTTTGCGAAGAGGGCGCCACCGAATTTTGAGGACACTTTTTTAATTGGTTCAAAGAGAGAAGTGGCCCCTCTTGTTATGTAGACTCATTGATAATAGATAGCATTTGTATAGCGCAAATCCCCGCTCAACAGCAAGCTCTATGCTTCACAGTCTATACTTTTTCTGAGTTTTCAAATTAAATCTCTCATGGTATAGACTTGAAACCAATTTGTTTTTTTAGTGTGTGCTTATTCATTGTGGGTTTTTATATTGGAAACGAAGAAGAAAAAGTTACAGCGAAATTTGCTTTATTCTTCTTGCGTATATTATTAAAAGCAGTGTGCAGGACGAAGGGTCCTTTTCTATCAGTGTCTGTATGTTTTTGGATTCATCTGCCAAGTTAGCTGCTAACACTTTTATTGCTATCTTTAAGATAGTTCGGAATTGGCTTTTCACTGATGGCAAGGCTCAGTCTGAACAACTCTGGAACATTGCTGTTGCTTTTTTTCCATAAGCACCACAGAGGGGGTTTTTCTTTTTGCTCCTTTGCGATCCAATACTGAGTTCATTTTCCGTGAGTTCACTCTACAGACTTTAAAGATCCTTGTTCACAATTTTTTGTCCAGTAATTCAGATGTGTCCCTTTCTGTATTTCCATTGTGGGTGTTCAGAATACTTCTGAATAGAACACCTTCTTGACAAGTGTAACATTTATATAAGAAGTTGCTTGGTTAAGTTAGAGATCTACTATATTATAGTGATTGTACCTGTCTCTGAGCAACATGAATTTAGGAAAGAACACCCTTTTTTCCTGTACTTTTATATTAATCAGCTTTCCTGCTTTCTCCATAGCTGTACCTCTATGGCAAGGACACACACAGCGTTTCCTACAGTGACTTTGTCAACAGAGAGCTGATTCTCTTCAGTAACATGGATTTGACCCGTTCCATCCCATGCCTCATGGATGGTTTGAAGCCAGGTAAGGGTGCTTTCTTGTGTAAGACAGTCCTTGATCAAGTTTATTTTTCTCTCCACTGGATCGTGTAAAATTATATATTTGTTGGGTCCCCTCTTTTTTTTTGGCTGGAATTTTGCTTTTGCTAGGCAACTACAAAAACTAACTCTTTGGTGACTGATGTTTACATGTTTATTTTTTCTAAGTTTCCTTCATTACCCTGAAGGTTTTTATACTTTTCACTTTGAACAGAAAAGTTCTCTTTGGATGTGATATGAAAAAAATGAAAACCAAAGAGATGAAACGAGTTCACTGGACAATGCCCTTTTTCAAAAAAAGAAAATTGTTAGTTCCATACAGAATTTAAAAGTCCAGTGTAATTTTTGGGAATGTGGTTTTAATTTCATGATTATCCATTTATCCTCTTGAATTTCAGGTCAGCGCAAGGTAATGTTCACATGCATCAAGAGGAACCTGGTGAACAAAGAAATCAAGGTTGCACAGTTGGCTGGCTCTGTGGCTGAACTGTCAGCCTACCACCACGGTGAGGTAAGACACTGATGGCCTGCCTCAGGTGGGATTTATGCTGATTAATTTGTAGTCGTTAAGAATTATGTCGCTTTGTTTTATGATCCAATGTTATGTTGTATTACTTGGCGTTCTGACCTCCTCAGCTTGCATCTCTTTTGCAACTTGCTGACTAAATCTACTTCGACTGTTTATGCCTTTTCAGGGAATCGTTGGGGTTTTGTTTTCTATAACAAGATGCTGCAGTTTTTAGGATGTTGTTATGGTTGGTGGGGCTAGGCTTGAGACAAGTGTTGGAACTGGATATTTAACTTTTGCCTTGAGGAAAGGATAATGATTACTCATGTATTTTCGTGCTTCATCATACTTGGTCAATAACTCTTGTTTTGTGTTAGTTATTCGCTTGTAACACCTTTTATCTTCGGCACTTATATGACCTTATTGTGTTGCAAGTGCCGTAAAACGCTTTCTACAAACACTGGGTTGGGGATGGGGGGGGGCTCTGCAAATTAATGGTTTTGATGAGGAAATTACTAAATTTTTTTCTTACCCATATTGGCTTGGCTCAGACAGGACTGTGTTGGGTTTTGAAACAAGATGGTCAATGAAGAATTTATCATAAAGGAAAGATGTGGCCGAAAGGTGTTTTTCCAGTGTACACCTGAGGAATTGTGCATGAGTTGAGAAATGTAAGTCGTTGTAATTTTATTTTTTATAGGCAGCTCTGATGGGTACCATCATCAACTTGGCCCAGAACTTTGTCGGCAGCAACAACTTGAATCTCCTGCAGCCTTTAGGTCAGTTTGGTACCAGGATTCACGGAGGCAAAGACGCTGCCAGTCCCCGTTACATCTTCACAATGCTCAGGTAAAGGTTGTTTTTTTGTTTATTTGTTGTCCGATTCCTGATTTCTTTTGGTGCCAACATTTGTTAGTTACGTAAAAATGTGTCATGGTACAATTTGTTATGCTTCAAGAAAAAAAAACGAAGCAAAAGGGGATTTGTTTGGTCTGTGATGATGATGGTGCTAAAATGTTGGAAATCATGTGCAAGTTGATCTTGATGTTAAATCGGAAAGGGCTTGTCTGGAAGAGATGATGTTGGCAGTAAAAAATAAACTATTTACTTAAGATTTTATCACTGGAGCAATGGCCAATATAGGATTCTTACTTAATTTGGGGGTGTGTCCTTTCTTTTTTAGATGTCTTTGCTTTGATGGAAAATTAAATGTATTGTTATCATCCTGTAAATTAAAAAAAAAAGTACCATTTTTAAATGTGTAGACAGCTATGTTTTATGTGCTTAGTAGAATTTGTCAGATATTTCTCAGCAGGTGGTTATTGGCTGCTCTGGTGTGGTTTGATTCTAATCATATCTATGGTCCTTATCTCTCCTCCTTCTTTTCTTTGTGTGTATCTCTCTAGTAACACCACTAAACCTGGGCCCTTATATGACATATTTGTGTTGGAAGTGCCGTAAAACTCGTACAGAAACCTAAACTAAATCGAATATTTCTTTCTCATGCTATTTTTCAGTCCCTTGACCCGCCACGTGTTCAACGTCAATGACGACGCCCTGCTGACGGCTCTGTACGACGACAACCAGCGCATTGAGCCCGAGTGGTACTGTCCCATCGTGCCCATGGTGCTCATCAACGGTGCTGACGGCATCGGCACTGGCTGGTCCACGCGCATCCCCAACTACGACATCCGGGAGATTGTCACCAACCTCAGACGCATGCTGGAGGGAGACGAACCTTTGCCAATGGTGGGGATTCTGGGCCCTCTTCCTCTTCATGCTTTTTTCTTCTCCTCCTCCTTCTCTTCCTCCTCCTCCTCCTCCTCCTC